ATTGATAGCACCCGATTGCTATGTTTTCACTCGCTGTGCTGCATGAGCTCTGCATTAGCTATTGGGCGACTTCTGAAAGCGCTGTAGACCTGTTACTGTTTGCCTGAGAGGTTCCCCCGAAGCATTTCTGGTAATATTTGCAAAATTACTTGTTACTTTAAGCAAACAAGCAAATAGTATAGATGCTGGTATTTCAGAGCTGGCTAGCTGATGAATGGACGTGTACAGATGTTTCTCCTACAGATTTTTTTTTTGTTTAATATTTTAAGTGTTTCAATTGATGGGTGGTTCAGGGGGATCTAACTTCAGAAAGAAAGCAATTCTGTGTGATGAATTAGCCTTTCTGAAGGGGTCTTGGCCTGAGGGATCACAGTCCCAGGTCTGTTCCTTTGGAGCCACGCGCAATTAATGATGCTTCTGGCCTGGTGCTCGCTGCAATCACCACGGGAATTGGTATCAGTTAGCACTTTTTTTTTTCTTGGCCAACGGAAGTCTCTCGGTCAGTTACGGCACACTGTTATGAAGTTACTTTTTGAGCAGTACTTGTCCTCTGCTTAATAGAGAAGGCTTTGAAATCTGGGCTTCACGCTAGCATCTCAAACATACAGCGTTAGCAGAAATAAAAACACCATGGCCACGGGAATCTAAACCTGCACGTTGATAGTGTTTTTACAAAAATGCTGTGTGTATCTTCACTAATATCCTGTTCTGGTCTGGAAGACCACTGGCAAACAAAACCAGGAATAACTTGCTGTTTAAAAGACTGGATAAGAATATAGGAAGTATACTTTTATTGTATAGAAGCTATTAAAGATGTGAGCCCTAGATAGGGAAGGGACTTTATCTAAATTGCAGCATTAGAAAATGAAGGGAGAGGGAAGATTAAAATCCGAGTGTTCTAGTCTGAGTGCTGCTTTAAACTATATCTTTGTGTGCAGATGTCCCTGTGTTAGGAGCAGAGATGTCTTGTACTTCCCAGAGCCCGATCTGGATGAGGTTTGGTCTCCTCTTTCATAGCTCCTCTGTTGTCTGAGCTGGGGCTGTACACATACTGTACGAAAGGACTGCCTGTCTTCAGCTCCTCTGAAACCTCTGGGAACTTAGTATGTTTCAGGCATCAGCCCCTCTGTCTAATTCAGTTGCACCAGAAGATTCAGGAGTTATTTGGGGAAGTGGGAGGTTTCAGGCAGGCAGAGACCCAACTTAACAAGTCTTGTGATAATAAATAGACCTTTTCTGCCTGGCGCATTTCTGTTGTATGTACTTTGAAATATAAAATAAAACATATGCTTCAACTTGGTGATGTTGAGAAACAAGGATTAATTTTTGTGCCAGAGTGCAAGTTGTATGCTGCTGTTGCCTCTGAAAACGGTGCTGCAGAGGCAGTTGCTTCTTCAGAATTTTTTGAAGTGATACCTCTAATCTAGCAACTTTTTAAAGTGTAAGATATAAACACTTCTGTTAGATTACAGGAGCATTCCAGCTCTTTAAATCCCGCTTTGGAATTCTGCACTGATCTCATTTCAAGTTGCCTGTTCTAAGGCCTGGAGTACCCGACAGCTGCTTCACTTCTGGCTGCAGCCCCGCTTTCAGCTCGATGCTGTGGTTAAGGAAACGATGAGCCACTACTAATAAGCTGTTATGTGCAAGAAATTGAATATGGTGAGAAAGCTGCTCCTTGGTTATGTCCCCATCTGACTTGATGAACTAGAAGGGAGTTCTCATGAATATTTCTTTTCCGCTTGTTCTCATAAATCTTGTTTTTTCTTCTTTAAATATTGAAGTTGTTAAGTGCTTGAAGTTAGCCACCAGATATTAAGCTTCTAATAAATAGTCAGCATGGACTGCCTTGAGACTTGTGCAGAAACCCATACTGTACCTTAAATTGCATGTTAGATTCTATTTATCACATTTTCCTAATGCTGGTATTTTGTCCAGTCTAAATATACAAGTTCCAGCATGCATAGGTCTCTCTGTGCAGGTTGGTAGTATCCATGTTGCGTGTGAAATTAGAAAGAATTAGGTTTGAGGTGTCCAAGGTAATAAGTGAAATGGGGTAGAGAGTTTACCTTCTGTGTTTTATACAGACCTGACTATGTTGTGATTACTTAGCACTTCATCTTCAGTGTTTGCTGGGAAACAAGACAGTGTTTGAGCACTGTGGGTGATGAAGTAAATACATTATATAGTTAAGTGCTGTACTTAACACTGTGACTAACTTTGCAATTAGCTTCACTTTTCAGTGAGGCCAGATGCTTCACCCTAAGTGGGATTTGCAGTATATGTGTACAAATACTGAGATGTCCCGGACAAGAGAGTCTAAATCAGGTAGGATTATTGGTTTCAGAAATACCTGCTGGTGTCAGTCATATGTAGAAGATGGTGCTACACACCCCTCCAACCTACCCAGAGACCAGTGCAGTTGCCTAAGGCTCAAGCCAGGCTCTATACTAGTAAGGTGGATGCAGCTCAGTGCTCAACCGTTGCTTTAATGTCAGATGGGTGTAGAAAAACAATGATAAAAATAACATTTCTTTCTTTTGTGGGCAGATTGCGTTGTGCCCAAGTGTTGTGCAATTTTCTATGTACTTAACAGGGTATCACAACAGGAGTACTGCTATTCCTACAGTATGGGTGTGGAGCTGAAGCACGAAGAGCCTAAGTAAGGCATGTATCTCAAAAAATATTGAGGCATCTTAGTCTTGCTGATTTAAATGAGAGGCGAGAGATCAGATACCGCTGCAGATCGATACCTGGTGAAATGCCCAGAGATTAGAGAGGACTTGTGGCTGACCAGGGAATTTAATTCTGCTCTCAAATCCCAAACTAATGCTCTTTCTCTGTAGACTGCAGATTCAGCATTGTTTGAAACTGAGCTGCCTGGATCCTTAAAGTTCTGAAGTGTGCTATCTCTGCGCATCTAAGAAAAAGAGTTGATAATTGACTGTTTGCCACATTTTAACCTAATGCAAAACTGCATGAACAAATAAAATTTTCATGTAGAGAGCTTTATTTTCTTGTGTGAAAAAGCGGTTGGCGGTGCAGTGGAGTGGCCAGAATGATCCCTGTACTGCTGCAAGCCTTGCTTCTGTCACTAACACAAAGAAAAGGTGCTGGAACCTGGGCAAGCAAGTCTAGGAGTAAAGTCTTGATTACTTCTAATTCAGTGCGTGCACAGGGCAGTCTTGCAAAACGCCACAAGCTGTGTGGTAACTGTTTCGGGTACCCATAATGAATGATACTCAAATGCTGAGAGGCTCTTACCTGCTGTTTTTTATACCACTTTGTCTTGCCTTGGGAAGACATAGCGTATATTCATGTGCTGTCTAAATAGCTGTGGCAGACTAATGAATGGGATACTGAAAACCATGCTGATAGGAAGGAAACAATCTTTCGGGGGCTAAGGAATGTGATGTGCTACCTGTGGTATCAGAGAATGAGAAACGGGATTGGAGCCAAGGGCTGTTTGCGTCCATCAGCTTTTACATCCATCAGGATATCAGTGTTCTTCATTGAGTCATGAAAATTACTTCTAGAAGTGTAAAAACAAGATCTTGAAATCTGCTTTTGCTTAGCTGTCCATCATGTAAAAGGAAATTGAAAGGATGAGATCGCAGATGAAGCATGGCTTTTAAATTGCATACATGACATGAAAACCTAATCTTGTTTCAGACAGTGGCAGGATCAGATGGGTAAAATGGATGCCTTGATCTCTCACACTAAGAAGCAGAGGTTGTGTTTTTTTCCTTGCTTTCCTTGTGCAGGGCAACTGGGAGGAGGCGAGCGTGTGTAGCTATGACATGGATATTATGTAGGGGAGAGCACAAACCCATAGGTGAGCGTGCCTGGCCATATAGATGCATGCAGTCACATGTGTCTGCCCGTATCGCTTGCACGTGTACAGCCTTCCTGGTTAATAACTGTTTGATATTCTTTTTTAATTAGCAACTTGGGGTACTTTAATTGTTGCAGGGTTTGTGACATGAATCTATTGGCAGCCTCTGTCTAATCAATTTGTTTTTTCTTTCTCATGGGATAGTTGCTCATCTTCAGGTACAATTTTTAATTATTAAATAAAGTCAGCTTTGCTCTTTTGTCTTCCTGAAAATAGATTCTCTTTGAAATAGATTGTAGGTGAGGTATGAGGTTTGTTCTTAAGCTGTCTGATCATGTCTATGGGCCTATGCCCTTGCATTGCTTTTGGCAAATACAGATGGCCCCATGGCATTTTCACCATCATCAATATTTTTGACTGTTACTTATATTTATTACTCTTCAGTACATCCTGACAGGTAGTGCTAGCATATCTCCAAATGTACTTGGCTTTAGTGTGTAGGAGTGAAATACGTACTTGATTTTAAGTTCAAATCATTAAATAAAATACTTGGATAGCACATTGGGTGTGTAAGCCAGGAAAGAAGTGGGATGTTTTGGAAATCTATTTTAACGTGTTGATGAGTTGCTCTGAGAGGTTCTGGGGAGCTGCCCATTTGAACAGGATCAGTGGAGTTTTTCCTGTATCGAAAGTTGTCTGTGTGACGTGAGGTGGGGAAAAAAGGGAGAGGTGAGCTCACAAACTGCCCATCTCAGGGTTTAGAGTCCTTCCTAGGACTGGAGAAGGGGCTTGAAACAGCAACTCAAGCTGGGCAGAAGTCTGACTGTTTTGGTGGGTCTTGTGTGGATATATATATATATGTATGTTCAGGCATCTTTGCCCTTAGAACAACCAAGCTCTTGTTCCAATGAGAAACAAAAAAGAAGTAAAAGCTTTGAGGTTTGGGTTGTTTGGTGGTGGTTGGTTGGTTGGTTGTTTTTAAATAAGCTTTGCTGGCAGACCAGTGTGAGACTACTAATCTAGCAAAAATTTGCTCTCTGCTCTGAAAAGTTTATGCTCTGTAAAATGGTTTATTTCTTGCATTTAGAGAATTTAAATTATATCTTATTATTGTTGTTTGTTTTCTTTCAGTGAAGCCAAAAGGCTGGAATTAGAAAGAAAACTGATGGAATACAGAAAGTCTGACGCATACCTGTAAGTCTATTTAAAATCTTCTTATAGGTTATTTTGTTTTAGTTACGAAGACTTGGGTATCGTGAAATGCTTTTAGGATGTTATCTAAAAGGTATTTTGTAACAATAAATTTATATTCGTATGCTAAGTATAATGCAAAATTCATGTCTCTAACTTCAGCATTAAGATGCATGGAAATAACTTCAGCATTAATATAACTAACTTATTCTATTAATACTAAAATATTATCTTAGTTATCATATAGCTAACATGCAAGTTGTTTTTATGCAATGTTTACAATCACTGTAGCATAGTTTGTGCTGTAAAGTCCTGGGGTCTCAGAAGGTCTGAAAGTTTTAGGAAGTTCTAGAGGATATTGTAAGCTCTGGTCCCACTCCTTGGGTTGTCTCTGTGTTGTCTGTTTAATGTAGATTGCATATAGAGTCTGCATAAAAAACCCCAAACCTTAAACAACAAACCAAAGCAAAAAAAAGCCAACTCCAACCCAACCAACAACAACGGAGGGCTAAGAAGTGTCTCAGCCAGTGTTCCTTTCCTCAAATGTGTTTTATAAAGCTCTTGGGGTGACCCTTCTGCCTTGACTCAAGGGACTGAGGGCTACGTGCAATAATGACCTGTTCCGTAGGAACCCCTCTTCTGAAAGTGGGCCTTTACATTAGAAAATAAAGATGTGAATTTAAGTAAAAAATACCCGACTAGGTGGGGAACCATCCCATATACTTCCTTTTCTGTTTATTTATTTTAATTTAAAAGGTTTTGAACTGAAGTGTCTCTAAAAATATTGACAACTTGGGAGATTTAAGTTGCAATTTCACTACTGATTTAAGCAGACCTGTGGGCAGATTGACACCAAAGGATGCTCCTGACTGCCTCTGGTTCACGTTTTCCCTTTGTTGGCACTAATGCTTCTGTGGCTGCCCTGTAATCAGATAAGAAAATAGGTCTGGCTGAAAGTGAACCTGTTTTTTGGGTGGATGAGGACTGGTTCAGATGGATTTTCAGCTGGATTACTCTTGGCCTCCTTTGCCGTGTGGCCATGTAGCAGATAGTACTGGCACAAGAAAGAAAGACTTGGAGTGAGATGCCCCTTTGGGTGGCAGCATGGATTTAGGTGGGCTTAAAGCAGTTGGGAAACCGCAGCCTTAATGTTACCATTGGCGTGACTTTCAGAGCACGGTCTTCCAAGTACAGTTTTCATTTTGATTTAATGTGATATAAATGACTAAAACATAATCTATTTAAAACAAATTTACAAGAGCTTTTTAATGTGCCTATCCTTTTGAACACCAATCCCCTGTTTAAATCTGAAGTTTTACAGCAGACATCTTGTCTGTTGTATAACGTAGCTTTGGACAGTGGTGCAGAAGAACCTGTGTGCCCCTTTTGGGAGGGGCAGGGGGCAGCTCCCGCATCAGTGTCAGTGTGTGTGTGTGTCTGAAGAAAATTGAGTGTAATAGATGTTTGTTTTAATTTTGTACTCTTTAAATGCAGTTTCATTCCCTCCCTGTAGAATGAAATTACAATACATGAAGCTGAAAAAATACTTAAAAGTAGTAGATGAACGACAAAAAGGAGCTCTTCTGCGAAACCAGACCTTTTTAAAGCAACTTGACCAGTTTGAAGCTCATCTGAAAACTTCAAGTTCAGCAATGATTCAGAAGATGGAAGTAACTTTCTATAAGACTTAATACGTTAGTGTTTACTGTTGTTACAGGGTTGCTAAACTGGTTTTGTCTACATATTGTGCACACCAAGAATTCAGATGTTAGTGAAACCCCATCATGTATTTTGGAGTGCTTAAAGTGGTACTGTTTGGGAATTTGATATGAACCCAAACTCTGCTGATATGTGATGGAATAGACCCTACTGTAGCTGCAGAGGTGGGCAGCAGCACTCCACAGAGCTCATAATTTGGTTATAGATTGGTTATGATTTTTTATTATAACCAATTGGTTATTGGTTATAATTTGGTTATAGTAATGCTGCTTGTAGATTGAGCAGTTAGATTAGCGTTGCTTTTCTTATAATTAGTGCAGAAGCAAGGTGAAACTTTTCTATGCTAGTACAGAGATTTTTGCATGTCTTATCTTAACGTTTGCAACAAACTTGATCAGGATCGGTATCTCAGGTTATATAACAGACAGGATTTTTTAAAAATTGTAACTCATGACTGAAGTGCTCTCAATTTAATAGGCTACTATAAGAAACAGCCAAACTTTGAGGATTTCTGAATCATATTATTAACAATATGTTGTCTTGATGTTCACTAAAGAACAATTTGAGATGTTCCAAAGTGATAGGGATTGGTAGTGATCTCAGATTTTAAAAAATAAAATTGTGACATGTGCTCATGCCATTAATATATGGAGTCAGATTTTTGAGGAGGTAAAATCTGGGAGGGAACTGTGTTAATACCTGCTTTCTAAGATGAGTAGCTTTCTTCAGAAATACTAAGCAGGGTCTATTTCACTCTGCCACTTTTTTAACTTGCTGGAGGGAAGGAAACAAATTACTTGAGGTATTTTAAATGCCTATGATGTGTTGCTGACGTGACAGTTACTTTTGTGACTGTCTAGAACTCAGTTGTGATTGGTTTTTATTTCTCTGAAACACAGTTTGAATTAAAGCAGAAGCAGGTGTTTTTGGAGTGTTCCATTTTCCTCCCTCTCTTCTGTTCAGGGGCACACACAGCTTGGTCTGAGACAGTAAAACTGAGACCATGGTTCTCTTAAAAGGAGGTGTCTAAAAGGCCTGGGTCCAAGTTCCAGAAAATGTGAACATAGAACAGCACCCCTGGGAGACAGTGGCACAAGAAACGTGCAGGGTGGCTGAGAGAAGCTCGAGTATATGTAGAAAAAGAAATACATAAGCACTTCTGAAAAAAGCTGAGGGGAGGAAAAAATCAGACTGCAACATAAAAGCAGGGGGAGTGGAAAGGGAAAAAGTATATTATGTAGAAGTTGGAAAACAAAGAAGCAAACGTCAAAATATTTTTTTTTAAGCTTTCCTCTTAATATTCTCTGAGAACACTGCATTGGGAAGCATTATTAGAGCTTAACCTGAAGCAGGGCTGTGGAAGCAGCAGTGTATTCTTTCACTCGATAAATGTGATGACCTGAAGTGTGAGCCTTTGTCCTTCCTAAAAATCTTTGGCCCTATTAACTACGGGTATTGATGTTAATGTGGTGTATAGTCCTTTTTGAATCGTAACAAGCTTTTTGTCGAGTCAGAATAATGTGGCAACAAGCTCTACACAGTAATTTTGTACTGTAGCTAAAAAAGCTGCAAACACGCACACACCTGTCCTACCCCCAACCTTTATAGTTTTTAAATGGGTTGCCTTTGATTTTATTGAAAATCTCCTTGGTTTGTTTGTGTGTGGTTTGGTTTGGTTTTGGGTTGTTTTTTTTGTTGTTTGTTTTAGTTCTTAATTTTAAAAAAAAACCAAACAAACTAGTGGGCTCCAAACAGCATTTCCCAGGTTAGGTGCAACTTGCAGTGTATCAACCCTGCCTTCTGTTGTTTGTGTTAAATAGCCCCAGTTGTTGCTTTTCTCTGTGCTGGTGGAAGATTGTGTATCGTGTTTGAAGGGGGCTGATGAGACCCTGCTGCATTGATTAAGGCTTCTTCAGAAACACCTATAGGGATGTGTGTACATTTCCTATTTGGGAGGTGCTGTGCCCGACTTAAGTGCGCAGAGCAGGCGATCTGGGGGGGGTTAGCTGCTCTCTCTGCCTTTGGAAGTAGGGAAGCTCTTTGGAAAAGATGTAGCGCTCTCGTGGTGGCAATTGAGTTCCACTCTAATAAACCAACGGGCTGTCTAACATCCCATGGCTGCATACCCACATTAATAAATTCCTTGCACAACCGTGGCCCAGATAGTACCTGGTAATTCTTCTAAGCCTGTTGCATCTGCTGACATTCACAGATCAGCTTTTCCTTGCCTCAGCTTAGTTTAAAGACTGTCCCTGGGCTTGGGAGTGTGATTCCTCCTCTTTTCTTTCTTCTTTTTGTTTTTTTTCTCTCTTTAATAAGCAGAGCAGGACTAGGGGGATGTTGTGATGCTAGGTTTCCCCTGTTGCTTTTAAGCAGTTTTATTCTTGGCGACCCTAATGCACACGAGTTTGACTACTGGTAGGTTGTTATAACGTAGAGGTGCCATGTGTGGATCTGCAGGCAGTGTTTTTGTTCGTTGCTTCCATTTTGATGTTTCTGTGTCATCCATTTTATTTTTGCCAGGTTAGAATTTTTTTTTCCTGAGCTGTTGAACAAAGCAGAGATTACACATCCTCTGTGCTGCAGTTATGGAAAGTCCCCTTGTTGTGGATTGCATGAGAATTATGGAGCATGTAATTATTTTATCTATCATGGAAGTGCACAGAAATTATTACTGTTTTATTATTTTTTTTCAGTGGAGAGAGAATGCCCTTTAGGAGTGCTTTATCATAGCTATGTGCACCATTTATCATGTGGCTGTAGCTGACAAAACTTCTTTTGTTTTTGAAATATTCTCTTCTTTTTCCCATGTTTGTGTGTCTACAATTTGTTCAGTAATTTTTGGGAGTATAAGTAAGCTTGCTTAAGCTTTCAGGAGAATGTTGTAGTTACATTTGAGTTTATTTTGAGCATCTTTAATTCTCATGTGGTTAGTTGTTGTTTCTTAAAATTTAATGTTTACGATTTTTTGAACAGCTTCTATAACCTGAGAAACAGCAGACTTGCTGAATGTGCCATTGGAGTTAAGTGCAGAGCTGGTGAAGTTAATTGTTTTAAAGATTTCCGTTCATGCATATTACCTGACGCAGAATAGGTATTGAAGTGCTTTCATTCAGGGCCGATGTAACTTGTTATTGGGGTTTACAATTACTAACAAACAGGATTAATTATAGGTGCTGCGTGTGCTTGGCTTTTAAGCAGTAGTCCTACTATGAATGCATTACATTTGGTCAATTAAACAATGTAGTGGAGGTGAGGATGGTTTATGCAGTTGTTTGTTAGTAACACTACAGCAAGTTGCCTTTCATGCTGGGTTGCTCTTTATAACAGCTGCCATATATTTTTCCTTATAATAGCTCAGTGAGTTGTAAGATGATGTAGGTAAAACAAAAACAGATTCTAAGGCTCATTTCATCCCAAAGCAGCGGAGTCATTGTCTGGATAGAGCAGAAATGATTTGGCGATACAAATACTAATTGGTATGAAATAAAATTGAGTCAACAAGTTATTACTGTTTTTTTAGGAGTCTAAATTATGTGAATGAATATTAAAATGTGTATTAAAAACCTGGAGAAGATTGTGTACAGGCCATGTCATTTGTTCAGGGGAGCAGAAAAAAGGGGAGAAAATGGGGACTCTGGCTTTTTAAATATAGTCCAAGTAAAAGTGCTGCTAGGATATTACATTTAAAAGTGCACGATTTGCAAAGTAATATTTGTTGATTTGTGGTGGGGGTTTTTTTGGCCTTCAATTTATGTTACGGATTTGTTCACATTTAGGAATGGTACGGAAGAGAAATTAAAAGTGTGTTATCACTTCAAGAGGGTAACTTGTCAGCAGAAGGTGACAAGGAAGAAGAATACGATGAGCAGGTAATGCGAAAGAAGTGGGGGGGAAATGCGTTTTATTACATTGATGTGCTTTCCTCTGAGCTTCTGCATGAGGAGGCAGGCATTGCTGAGCACTCTTTGCGTGGGGGTTTTTGTCACAGCATTGGTAGTGTGAAATACTGTCTAGAGCCTGAGTGAAGTCGAATAAGCTGGGTAAAAAGTGCAATTACTTCAACCAAAGAACTAGAATTTAAAAAGAGAGAGAACTCTTAAATGTTTATATTCAGCTTCGTGTTGGTTTTCGTAATTCCAGTGCTGAATAGTATGAGAATGGTCTTGACAGAGAAGGAAATATTCTTAATGAATGATATTTAAAAAAAATACAGCAGTCGATTCATACAGTGTATTTATAATTTTGTGTGTTTTGACCTTTTCTCAGAAGAAGCAAAAAGAGATTGCATATCTAAGTAACAGACAAAAAGACTGACAAGAAATACTTAAATATATTCTGCTATGTATCTGCAGTAATGCAGGCTTCTAATCCCTCCTCCTATCTCCATATAAATGATACAGTTCAAGACCATAGCTGTTTTCTTCACTAAAAGCAGTAAAGCTCTTTTAGATGAAATGTCTAAAAACATCTTGTAATAACTTGGAGCATGCTGGCAAGAGTAGTCACTTGTGACTATGTGTGAAACCCCCTCAGCTAGTCGATATTGTAATAAGCAAAAATGGTAGCATCACTCCATTATTCAGAAAAGCCAACAGCATGCTTGTCCCTTAGGCTACAGCATTCATTAAGAAAAGCTTACTGGGCTGAAAGCTGGAAACAGATGATAACGGGATATGATTTTCATATTTAATGCATTCCTTGGAAGAGTATGTGTGCTGCAGATTGATAGAAGAATCAACTGCTACTTTACTAAAAGACTTTCTAGTTTGCCCTATAGCTACCGATGGAATCATTCAGCCAAGAAATTAACTTTTTCTCCTTTTACCTGCTTTATATATCTGCTAAGCAGGCTGCCTGGCTGCCAGTAAATGTTATTATGCAGTTAAATGTTTGGTATTTAAGACTCTTATCAGAAAAGAAACAGAGGCCACACTATTTTGTTTTTATAGTAGGAGGAAGGTTTTCAGCTTGCTTTCTTCAGTACATTAGCAGTCGTTAATCTGAGTTTATTGGAAGTTTTCCCCATAGATTAAAAAGTTAAAAACCTTGAATTTAGAGCATTCTTTAAGTTGTAATATACAAAGCAATGAACTCGAGCAACCTTGACCTATATAAGCTGGCCTCCAGCAGTTTGCGAATTATGTTTTTAATTCAGGCGTATGTGAAAAGGTGAGTTTATTTTTGAATGCTAGATTCTCCAGTTAAAAGCAGTCAGTGTAGGAGACATGATATCTAACCTATGGCAAAGTTTACATAAATACTAGAACATCAAAGGCTCATGGTGTGACTTAGATTTTTAAGAACTTTTAGCAGGTTTTTGGACAGTGCAAGAACTTGGTGCATACCCAGACATGTCACTTTATGTTGAATTACAGTTAATAGCTTGACTGTGTACTCTTTCCTCCCATGTCCCCTTATCTCTCCTTCTCATCTCCTTCCATAAATACAAAGGTAAACTTCAACTGAATTGTGCATCCTTTTGCCTTGTCAGTGTGCAGTGTCTCGAATCTTATTCTGTAACTCCATATTTTTTTTTAGGACTGATTGGGCCTGTTTCCCACCACCTTCACCTCACTTAAAGTCTGCTTATTTTAATGTCCAAAATATGAGAGTTTGTTCTCAGCGATGTGGCACTGAGTCAGTCATAGCGAGCACATGCAGTTAGCAGGTGGTATACCCGTGATGCAGATCATCACAGCTTGGAACTGGTTTTATTTACCAGCACTGGTATGGTAATGTTTTCCTTCAGGCTAGTCAGGATGCCAGTGATCGTGTGATAACATCATCAGTGATGCATCTTGGAGACCAAGAAGGACAACCACAGAAGCAAACTTCTAGAGATGGTCTGCATCCCAGTGCCCCTAGAACACCAGTGTGAATATCTGGTACTTCTCTGAGCTGTGGGATGTGCACCCTTTTGCACTCTCATCCTTAAGCTCAGAAATCATATGCCCAAACAATGTTTGTCTGGAAAAACCATGATTCTCCATGAAAAGGACTTGAGCACCAGTCTTTTGAGTCCCAGTGTAACAGTGATCTGGTGTTACAAGTTGGAAGGGAGGTCCTGTACCGAAGAGGTCCTTCTCAGCTGGCAGAGCTGGATAACCTGAGCTTCCAAAACCTTTGTGTGATGAAGTCTGGCTTCTTCAGCCTCAGAGCTCTTTCCTGAAGAGTTTGGACTTGTGCATTCTGGCATTGCTGTGCCTGTTGGGCATAGGGCATGGGGCACCTCCCAGGAACCCCAGTGCTCTGAGAAGGGGGTGTCACCAGGTGAGAGCAGCACCTGGAAGAGACAACCTCTGGCTCAACTTCACCTCCCTAGCTTTTACCTGGTGATCTACTGCCAGGAGAGACTGGGCCCTTTTGTAAGTCCTAATGAAAGGGATTTTTTTTTCCCCTTATATTTGTTCTCTTCAGAACACTTTCATGATAATAAAAAAGATTGTATTTGTTACTGGAGGAAGTGGGGAGCCTGCATTCCACAACCAGGAAGAGGATTGTAAGTGTGCTTTGTGCAGAGACTTCATTTAACTCCCAGCTGGAGTGACATGAAGTTCAGTAATTTTGTTGACTGTTTTAGGTAAGTCATCTACGCATGTTTACAGTTTTGTTTTTGGTGGTACAAACAGTACCTAGACCAGTGTTATCTGTCGTACTTTAGCTTTGAGAATGCTAAGGCGGTGAAGAGATTATTTTCTTTTCTTCGGTCAAAGAGGAGCTTGTTAGAGATGTGCGTCTGCTATGACTCTGCCAAGCACTTGTACCTGTTTGAATTGCATTTGTTTTGGAACACTACATCCAGGAGCTGCTAAATCCATGAAGCACTTGCTAGATGCATTTTAAAGCAGCAAATCCAAGACCCAAAAAGTAATTAGGAGGAACCCGAGAGTAGTGGTGATGGAATAAGCTGTGAACTTAATCTGAGTAGTAAACCTTTACTCCTTCTTAAAATAACTTGATGGCTTTTTGTTCTGCTTCTTGTTATGTGGAATTTGAGCTTTTTTAATGAAACTTGGTCACAGACTAGACAAGATGCCTTTGTTTCCTTTAAGCTGGGCTTGGCAGCTGACTTTGTATGGTAGGAAGAGGTCAGGCAATGAAAGAGAAGAGAGAGGTGTGGAGGTGACTGTAAATTGTCCTGCTGTGATTTGGGGCTGAAAAGTAAGCCCTGCTTAGTATGAACAATAGTATTACGATAGCTAATTTTGGCTTTGCATAAACTGGCAGTGACCTTTAGTAGTAGTGGTGGCAGTAGCCCCCTCCTAAATTGTTCTGATTGAGTAGATTTACAAAGAGAAAAAGGCAAGTATTAAAACACTGGGATTTAGAAACAGAGTGGTTATACTGTTGGAACTATTTTTATGCAAGTTGAACAGTTCTCGGCGGAAAGTGCCATTTAAAATGTTTCTGCTTGGTGCCCAAGGTTGCCTTGTGAAAGATGCAATTTCGTCCTTGTTGTGTTAGCTGAGTGATCTTTCTTCCTCTTTAGCATGATTTAACAGACAGGAAAGAGCAGAAGGAAGACAGTGAACAAAGTGATTTTTGCCTTACTCTTATCTGTGTTATTGAGATGCTGTGAGGAAAGCTGGATACTTAGACCAGTAAGCACTGGCAGATGTATGTTTCCAACTCTGGGGACCCTTCCTTATCCTGTTGCCTTCTAGAGAAGACCATGAGAAGAGCAGGAGGAGGAGGTTGCTCAGAGCAGCTGTGCCATGGATACTGCAACAGGGTCCTAGCAATCAAGTCTTGGCCTCAGGATGCTCTGGTACCTAAACCACAGGCTGTTGGTGGCTGTGCTGGGGCCCACGCAAGCAGAACACAGTGGTTCCACTGGAGTCAGCAACATCAAGGTGTTTTCAGTGATTTTTTTTGGTGCGTAGCTCTAAATGTCATGCTTTGGTCCAGGGTCTTAAAAGCATTTGCAGGAATCTAATCTTACAAGTTTGCCTGTTTGTGAAAACCAGTTACCGTTTAATTAGTTTGTCCTTCATGAATTTCAGTCCCTTTCAGTAAGGCTGGGAGTGCAATGTGCTTTTGTCACCAGTTGTTTCAGCTCACAGAGCTTCAGTTGAAGTCCTGGCCATCGTTTTTATATTAGGACAAGCAATGTGTATTGAGTGTTTGTGTAATAGTAATAAGAATACCACAGAAAATACTTACATTCGGTGACACTTTTCTCTCCAGAAACCAAATGCAATCCTCTAGAAGCTCCATTTGCAACACCTGCCTGTTTCCTTAAGCCATCTTCCACCTGTGTTTTTCAGATGCTGCGGCTTGCAAGACAGGCTGGAATCAGCACCGGAGCAGTTGTGCCAAGAGGTCTGTATCACCCAGCAACAGTCTTTATGGGTCGCCACACACCAGTTGTCTCAGGTGCCGGAGGTTTGGGCACGCAGCAGAAACCCCCCCAGCCCACAGAGAGCTGCTCGTCACCAGATGCATCTTTGTGCTCTTCATCACTTGAAGGACTTGGCCCAGAAATCAGAAGTGCTGGTTTAGGGAGTAATGCATCAGTGGATGGAGCAGTGAAATGCAAGGACCTGGCTGCTAGCGAGAAAGGCTCTGAGCAGCTCATCTCCTCAGCATCTGATCCCAAACCAGCCACCTCTGAAGAGGAGCAGCAGCAGGGAAGCGATCCAGGTATGGCGGGGGACATGCCTGTCTGCTGCTTTTCACTGCTGGGGCACACTCCTCCCAACCAGAGGGATGCCCGTGTCTGCTGGTTTCCCCTATGTGGGTTGCACTTTGGTTGAAGCATGGCAGTGTGCTCTTTCTAAAAATTTTTTTTATTTTGATTCTTTCTCCTCCCAGGCTACTCATCTGGATAGGCAAGGCCTTGCTGAGGGCTGATCCTGTTCAGCTTTGCTATTAGAAAGCAAAGATTTCTTCACTGCTGTGCCCACTGTTGTCTTGCAGTAGTTTGACCCTCATTTTTAAGAGGTTTAAGGTGAACCTACTGCACTGGCAGAGTACATGACTTCTGTTTCAGGTTGAGTTCCTTCTTCCTCAAACACTTGTGCAGAGGAGTTCATCCATTTCCAAAAATGGGATTTGGCAATGTCTGAGGATCAGTATGTTCCCGTATGGGGCTGAGTTAACTCCTCCTTGGTGGGGGCTTTCTGCCTTGTTCTGGACTTTACTGAGAAAGGCAGTGTGAACCCTCCCAGCCGAGAGGCTTTTGCCCTGGGATGAGGTACCTTGCCCTCAAAGCCTGCATTCCAACTTCTCTTTCCTCTTTTATTTTTTTGTAGGTTTTTTTTTTTTCCCCCATCTTGACAAAATGTGTTCTCTGCTGTTTTACTGGCTTGGTTGGTTACTTTGAAGTAAGCTAATGGACTTGTTTTTGAAGTTGCAGTGACAAAGATTTGTTGCTGAGTAACAGTTTTTTCTTTTTTTTTAAAGACCTTTCAGAAATACTTTCCTCTGCCTTGCCAGTTAACATAGCAATTTTCAACTTAAACTAGTTTTCCAAGCCCCATAACAATTGTTGAAATGGAAACTGGTGGCGACCCTAATGATGCAGGGACTCCTCTTCTGTAACCATTGTTGCTTTCTTTATAGAGGAAAGCTGGCATTCCCATCAGATGCTCTTCTGTGCTACTTGGGTTTTTTCTGACATCTGCTTTCTTGATTGTTTTGGGGATTTTTTTTCCCACATTCCTTTTTCTTTCTCTAATGCATTTGCCACTTCTCCATTTTAATGAAAGCCTATCCTTTCTGGTACTGGAAGGAGACCAGCACAGCCTGGCTTACGTTAGCTCTGGGCTCTGCCTGCGGCTCTGCAGAGCACTGGTTTCTCCTTGCAGGGAAGGCTGCGGTGGCCAGCATCGTGTCTGGGAAGGAAATACCCATTTAATCTCTGGAATGCCGTATTTCTGCCTTCAGAAAAGCCGCACAGTTTTGTTCAAAATGATCTTTTTGTCAAACGGCACGGTAATCGCCTCGAACTGCCCAGAGGGCTTTTTGTCTGCTGCCAAACGTGTGTGGTGAAGTGAATAGGCTAATGCTGTCTGGGCTTGAGTGTGTGGAGGGGACCGGCTTGTTCCTGCTCTCCTAAGCTTGTCCTTCCACGCTGCAAAAGATGGCAGCTGATGACGCTTGGCTGTGCCATACCTGGTGCGAGCACACGCCGGGCTCTGCCGCTGGCTGGGTGCAGAGCGGTGCTCACCAGCCTTGCCTGCTTCTCCTTGGTCACTGCTTGGCAGCAGCAGCACAAAGTATAAGAAACAATCCTGTTTCCCCTAGGTTAATGAAACAGAAAAGGACCCCTTTCTCCTCCCCTAAACTCCATTGTTCCCCATCCTTGTTTCCAGGAAGTGCAGTAGTGACACTTCTGTTGCATGTACTTGCTACACAAATTTGGAAACAAGGCTGAGAGAGCCCATCCTGGCATCGGCTACTGTTTGGCATAAACCTGGAGTGATTTGGTTCCAGTGAAACTCTGTGACAGAGACAAGCAGAAATGTTGGTGCTGTGGTGTTAGCAGGTGTGCAAGTGCTGGTTAACCTAAACCCATGGTGAATTTTATGGAAAACTGGGAATTTCTGTAGCAGTACTAATTTGTTACAGCACTAGCTGGTCTCTTAACTTTTGACATTCTATAAAAAGATAAGTAGCATGTATCTGTCATCTTAGAAGCATGATTCAGCCCCATAGTCTCCTCTTAGAGAAGGCAATTAATGTGCAGAGTTTAAAAGCCTCCAGGCCTGTATTTCTCCTGCAAGGTTTAAAAAGTGTCTGTGTTGATAGCATCTTCAGGTGCACTTTTTTTCCACCCGTAAGAAAAGCTTCTTCCAGCTTTTCTGTTTCATCGTTCCTCCAAGACAACTTAGTGAAGTAGCTGCGAAGGCTTCTTGAGTAGTGCCGGGTTTGTGTCCCACTGTCCGGGAGCTGCAAACCCCAGAGGCCTCCCTGGACTCCCTCTTGCGAGAGCAACATAGAAGGACACAGGGCTACGTGAAGGGATAGCAGAGTTATGGCACGATAAGTGAAAGAGGTGAACGCACAGCAATCTTGGCTTAATTCCATATGCTCTGTTATATTCCTTAGTCCTGCTAAAGTTTCAGAAGTAACTTTTAAAAATTTATTACTTTTACAGGACCAAAGCCTTGCCTGAGTAACTGGTGGACTCATAAGAAGGCAAGCTGGGAGAGCAGTGCTGAGCTCCCTGTCCCTGCCAGCTCCAAGGAGGTGATGCCGAGTGTTTCTGCTGTGCCACAGGGAATGGCCTCCCCAGCAGACAGCTGGGAGCAGGGCAGGGATGCCCATGCTGTGGAGGGCTCCCCACTGCAACCACTAAACCCTCCCACGGTGCAGGAGGAGCCCTTGGTCAGCTCAGCACCAGATGGGTACGTCCTCATGTATTTTCTCTTATTCCTTAGTGTGTGCCCAGAGGCTGTTTTCACAGCTTGCCTGATGTGTGGCACTAAAGCTGCATAGAGGTGGGCAAACTTTTTACCTATTTATTTAGCATCTCACTACCTCTGGGCTAGTGGTTTTATGGCTTCAGGTAACTTGCTCAGGCTAGACTTGGTCAAGTTAAGTATGTTTGTTGTTAAAATGCAATAGATGTTCTTTAAATGTACACAAATCTCATTTCAGCAAGTTTATATGGTAGTGCTTATTTACTAGACAGCATAAGTTTTATGCATTAACATTTCCAGTTGGTTAAATTCCTTGAACATGTAATTTGGAAATAGCAGAGAGAGAACAAGAGAGAGAATGAGAAAAATGTATGAGACAGATTCATGGCTTTTCCTCTGCCACTGTGTGAAAGCGGTGGGGTTTTATTGCCAACAACTGCAATACCAGAGTATCAGCTGTATTATCAACGATAGCTGGATTTTTCAACCTTGCAATGCCCTCATAAGACAAGAAGATACATACCCATCCTGGCGGGGCCATACTCACTACGAGATGATCCGCAGGGTTTGCCAAGGTTGTGTGGAAGGGGTGGCTTTGCTCCCTCGCTATGTTACAGCAGCCACATGGCCAACCACCATCGTACCTTCTTGGGTCCCCACCCTGTCATGCCTCATTGTGGGAGCATCCCTCCTGCTTTTATCTCCTGTCTCATAGTTCTTCTGAAAGGCCATTTGCTGCTGGTTCCCTCTGCAGTGCTCCGTGTCCGTGTTCACTTTATCATTGACCGTCCTACTACTGCCCAACCCCACAATTCTGTGACCTATGACTGCTGCCTTTCTCCTGCTCTCTCTGCCTTAGCAGCATGCTTCTGTTTCCTTGTCTTCTGTATCAACACACTTCTCCCTCCTCACCAGCACTTTCCTGCCCTCAATCACCACAGAAATCCTGAAGAAAGCCTTTTCTGCAGGTACAGGGCTATATTCTGGTCGGGGCTGCTCCCTTGGCTCTCCCTACCTTGTGCAGGCACTGCTCACATGCAAAATGCTCCTAGCTGGAGTGGTTAACTGGACACAGCGTGGTTAGGTGGAGGCTATGTGTTGGGGAGAGAAACCACGTATGAAAGAAACAAGCATTTTTACCCCTGGAGAATGAGGTGTATTTTTCTGCCAGTTTGGGTTTTTTCCCTTTTTAGTTCTTTGCAGCTTTTTAATCTGCTTTACACATCTATTTTTTCTGCAGTCATGGTCACATCATCTTAGGTACTGATTTCAATGTTAGTTTGTATTTTAATGGATGACAGTTGAGCAGAAACTCGTGGCTATCAATATACACTTCTGTAACTTTATCATTTCATATTTGCATCAGACTGTTGCTTGCTATGGAAACATCATCTAATTTACATCTAAATAGCTTTTACCCAGTTTTTCTTTTGTATAACACCTGTTAATCATAACACTTTGTAGGGAAGTTGCATAGAGTGCCTGCCTTTGCTAGAGAAGTCATAGCTGAGCGATGGTAATTTAACCTTTTGTTCTCTTCCCGTCGATGCTAGTGATGCCTCGCTGTTCATAAACTGATGAAAATACTGTGCAATGCTCTTGAAGCCCAGCTAAATTATACGAAAGGTTTCACTGCTCGCATTATCTCCAGAGCACAACTGAAACCAGAGCGTGGAGGTTTCCTCTCGCATTATACCAAGCTGAATACCTCTGTTTCTCAAGGCCATGGAAGTGAGATTGCCACTGATAGTGGTTTCTGCAGAAAAGATACAAAATTTTAATTTGTTTTACTTGAAAATTAGAACACAGGATTTTAAAAATGACAGGCATGGAAGGCCTCATGGAGGGATAAGCAGCCTTATTCATTGTTGGACTTTATAACCCCATGGGCTTTCCAACTCCATCTTTCCAATGCAAAATAATTTCTGAGCTGAAAATCTTTCGGAGAAGTTTCCAAGTAATTAGTACATGAATTTCAAGTATATAAATTGCATGAACTATGAGAATGAGGCTTTTTTTGGTCTGAATATATCATACCATAGGTTCACAGAATGAACAATATCGCAGGTCCTGTGATGTCCCTTCAGTCCATGTGGTGTCCTCTTACGAAATTCCTATGCTGACTGAAAATATGCATAAATTATGCAAAACTACGCATATTTCTCTTCTTAAAGTGAAATATCTATAGCTTGGACTTTCCCAATGCAGCAGTGTTGCTGCTGTGGCATCCGAACGGTGCCATTACTTGCTTTTCTTTGGTCTGCTTGTACACTTCTGGTGTCTTATTTGAAATTAGTGTGAGTGGTGGAGGGAAAGGGACCACTCGCATGCAGGGGTCACAGCTCACTCGAAAGGCAGAACAAAGTCTTTGTTGTGTGTTAGGAAGTCACAAGTTTACATTTTTGTAAAATATTACAAAAAAAATGCCTGTCCTACCTTACAGCAGAAATACCATTGCCTTTTATAAAAACAAACTTTGGGGTTTTTTTTCCCTGCAGTAAGTGTTTGCAGGTCACACTTTACCTCTGGGTGAGTTCAGCCTAATTTCAGATGGCCTTTTCCGGGCAATTTCAAACTTGCGTCTCTAGAGGGATGGTTGTCGTGATAAACATCATCAGGTTATTAACCAAAGAAAGGTGATGTTGCTGTGAAAGGTTTAGTATAACCTTTGCACCTTGTTTGCAGTTCACAGTGGGCTGCTGTGATTTGTGCTACCTTAGTTATTAAAAAATTATTTTTGCAAATAACTTCTGTGCTTCCAAGCCTTGCTGGCTGAGTGTATTGATCAGAGGCTGTACACATGCATCTTCAGACTCATCCTGCTGGCTCAGACCTGCATGTGAGCCTGGGCTGTGTGTTTTCCATGCAGGTTTGCAGCCCAGGAGGCCATTGGTGAGTGGAGAATTGCCTGGCTTATTTGAGGGGTGCTGTGAAGGCACCCAATCTCCTCTTCTGCTGGGTGAAGCCACCCAATAGCTCCGGTCTTTGGCTGCTTGTTTACCAGAGGTGAAAGGCTCCATATCCTCTTACCATTCCTTACAGCACCCGGGCTTTTCTTCAAGGGCTTAAACCCAGGGAGTGGCGGGTATGGGGGGAGAGGGTCTCTGAGAATTAGTGCAGGGAAAGATGATGACTATTTTAAGGCCTGTGCTGAAAGGGTGGAAAAAAGCAGAGCTTATGCCTGTGCTGCTTCAGCTGCATTGAAGAGGACTTAGCACAGATGGATTGTGCATTACAAAATGTAACACATAATTCAAGCTGTCAGCTTAATCAGACTGTTTCCAGGAAGCAACCTGTAAAAGAGAAGGACCTCTTGTTTGCTGACCTCTGATCCGTAGCCTGCTGCAGATTGTCGTACATTTTGTTTTTCTTTATGTTGGTGTCCCTTCCTTCCCCTTCCCTTTTTATTATTGTATCCCTCTCGAGTGGCACCCTGGAAGGACCACCCAGCGGGAGGAAAACAATGGGAAACGAGCTGGCCACTAAAATACAGAGTTTGTAAGACTGGGGGAAAAGAAAAAACACTGTTTAACTGCATATGTGATCTCCCTGGTATTGTTTTGCTTATTAAATGTCTAGGAAACTCAACTAAAGGCACGGCAGCTCTCACTTAATTGTTCACTGTTGCCCAACAGTCCAGTGGAAAACACAACTTCTGGTTCAACTTAACATGATTGCAAAAATGGTGCAAGTTTTTTGTGCACAGAGCTTTCCACTTGAAGTATAAACCAAGGTTAGCTGTGTAAATGTGTCAGCTTCTACATACAGCAAAAAGCCCAGAAAAATCTTTATTTTGCCTGTGCGGCTCTGTGGGTGCGCAGCTCAGCTGGGGCATTGCTGGTGGAGACCTGGCCTGGAAAAGTCCCCAACAAAGCAGGCAGCCGGGCTGGACCTGAATAGCATTTACACCTCTGTTCAAGGATTAGTCTGCTGTATTGTTTCAATGTTTAAGTCCTAATTTGCATCATCATAGAGGTGCAGCTTCATCAAAACCCTTCTGAGGTCCCAGTTATGTCCTCATACCTGTAGGTGGTCACCAGATTTATTTCGATTGTGGAGGTGAAGGAATTAAACTGCTCTGGGCAGGGGTAATTTCAATGCAGCGTCTCAGGCCCTGGCTGATTTTTGGATGATTTGTTTGCTCATGTGCTTTTTTTTTTTAATTCTTTCTTCCTGCAGACCTTAAGCAGTGTGTTGTTTGCTTTGAAAAGCTAAAATGAGGGTGTTTGTTTTTCCAACTGATGTGAGGGAAATGGATTTAAAATACCTGTCACAACTGAGGTCACTTCAAGTCCTCTTTGCTCTCTGTCCCGCAGGCACCATGGGATGCTGGTGGGACTCTCCCATGTGCTGCAGCTGATAGAAGATGTGGTGGTGAGGATGAGCCCTCGGCACCGGGTGCTGTACCAGGGCGAGCACATGAGGATGACAGGGATGGTGGAGCCGCTCAGGTGAATGTCGCGCAGGAACTGGAGAGGCAGGCAGTGCTGCCCATGCCTTAGCCTTATCCCTATGTTGTTTTTTTGCTTGCTGCTGTCCATTCAGTGTAATGCTTGCAGTAGTTTTGTTGTTGAATTGGTTACATGCTTCTAATTGAATTCAGGTGAGCAATGGTGAGAGGCTGTTACCGAGCAGCTTCGCAGGAGCCTGTTGAGATTTGAGCCAGGGGTCCTCGCTCTTGCGATGATAAATGGCTGGAGCAAAGAGCAAGCGCGCTCCTGCAAACAAACATTGCTGGTTGCTAAGAGGTCTCCGTCACCTTCCACCATTTTAATGTCATCAGAGAGCTGAAATACAGTGCTTGAAAGCACATACACAAATTGCTCCCACAAATACTCTTTCCTAAATGTAGCACTTCTTGCAGCCTTCCTCCACAGATCCCTTATGTGTAGTAAATACTAATTTCCAAGAATAAGAGCATCCCCTTAGCTAGTAATGCTAATATGATTTACTGAGATAGACAGCAATTACCAGGAAAAATTAATTTCTTCTTCAATGTAGAAGAGAAAAGAGAATCGCCAAAATCCAAATGTTAACAAAACCAAGGTCAGAGAGCCCTCACTGTCCCTCTGCAGCACAGGCTCTTAATTACAAGAACTGGGAATGGCTTTGTGATTTTACTTAAAATTATGTCAGCCTCCACAAACTAAGATTCTTGTAAGCGCTTGATGGTTAGAGGATTTCTAGGAAATTAGGAGGAATGGTTCCCAAACTGACCTGGCCCCTCCAACCTACCACTGGAGGTGGTTCCTACAACAACCGCTTTGGCCATAGCATGGCCAGGGCTGTCTGGCCAAGAAGTGGCTTCACCAAGCACACGTGTGCCAGGTTCCTCTCTCCCTGTCAAAAAGCAAAGGTGTGAGATTAAACCTGGCATTTCCCAAGTGCTGCATTTGGCCTCCCTGTCCTGTTCTGCATCTTTTGCAGAGAGAGTAATGAATGTTTGTCCCCTGGGTTGTCCCATCAGTTATCTCCTTAGCCAGAAGTGTTACAGATTCTGCCTCCAAACCAATGCTGCATGTCTGGGCTTTAAATAAGTATTGCATGTTATACCTGCTTTATTTTGTAGCTTTTGTAATCAGGCCAGCAATCTGAAAGAAGATGACCTTGAAGCGTGCGAAGCAGTTGTCCTTCATCAGCTTCAGGCTTTATTACAAAGCGAGCTGAATGGATGCCTCCTACCTGAGAAAACACTTGATGCTCAAGGTAGAACGGTGGATGAAAAGCAAACCAGGTATTGCAGACACAAAACTCACATGTGGGTGTGATTAACATTCTTTTCTTTCCTCCCCAAGTCAGCTCTGCCTCTCTGGTGCAGAGAAAGCAGACCCAAGGCCAGACCTCCAATAGCACTGGAAAAATAAAGATGTCTGAGTGCTGATCTTTACATGTCTGGACAGCAGCCATGCAACTCAAAATGAGAACATTAAGCAAATTCATTTATTTTCCTTGTCGTTCACTGATGGTGAATCTTATTCCGCCAGGCAGCAATTGGGTGAGGTCCCCTATCTTGCCCAGTCCACAGAATCTCCCCCCCCCACCTCCCAGGCTGCTCTGGCAGCGAGGGAAACACATTAACTTCAGAGACCTCTCAGCCAGTAATTTCTGTGATCTTCAACATGAGTTTCAGGCACGTAAGGATGGGGAATGTAATTCTGAGAAGCAAATTATTTTTCTGTGAAGCAGAAGATGCACATAGCCTTTAAAAACAATAAACCACAGTTATTCAAAATGGGTTTTTTCTTTCCTGTGTATATCCCACAAGGACAAACAAGAATCGGTTTGGGTTTTTTTAGGTCTCTTTAATGCAGTAATGAAAACAATTTCCATTCTTTCTTACTTAGCTTCTGTCTAGACCTTCCTCCCTGTTACACGCTCAGCAATGCTCAAGTGTTAGCAGGATCGGGGCACTTGTGAGTGCTGAAGAATGGTCTATTTAACTATACCTGGTTCTCCTTTTGAGTCTGATATGCCTGCGAGCACTAATATGTTGTTGCATTTCCTGAATGGTTTCTCAGGGACAAACACTTGTGGAGCTAATTGGAATTCACTACTCTGTGAAACTCATTGGAGCAACTGGAAAAACAAACATCTTTGGTAAACAAGATTGCAGTATTTATCTCTTCTAAGTTAAAATAAAAGGCACTTTTGCTCAAAAATAAGAATAATTCTGAAAGACAAACAAGCAAAAAAAAGGAGGAAGGACAAGGAAGTTAAAAAAAAAAAAAGATAAACCAAGGACAAGCCTGGGGAAGTGGGTGCCCAGCAGAGTGGCTGATGGAGTAAGTGTGGTCTGCCCAAGGCTTGAGACTAGGGGATGCAGAAAAAGTTCAGTGTTTCCTGATCCTTAGTCTCAGGACAGACCCCAGGGACAGACATGATGCTGATCACCCCTGCCCATCCTCCCCACACTTGCGGAAGTTATGAGTGACTTCTTACATTTTTCACTTTGGACTTTTTAAAAGAAAATGTGGGAATTCAGGACAAAACATGATGGCTTTTCCCACTGCTTGTTGACACACTTGTCCAGATAAACGAGTAGCGTGGCAGCTGTGTCGGTCTCATGTACGTGGGGTGTCTCACTGATGGTGCTTGAGTTTCTTTCTTAGGCCAGATCAGCAGTGGGATGTGGACATGCTGCGGACTTGCTTGATCAACCATGCCTTGTTTTTGAAAAGCCACCAAGTTCAGCTCACAGAAGAAGTGGCAGAGATGTTTGAAAGCCTGCTGGTTTCTAGCAAGGAGGCACAGGATGGCCAGGTTGGCACTTGCATCTAATAATATCTAAATCCATGACACCTAGAGACTAACTTACACTGTTAAGTTATGCTTAACATATGCCTATGCCTAAAGATCTGGTGTGTGGGCTTGAAGGGGAAGGACAAACAGTCCTGCGTTCATTAGCCAGCCTTTGGAGATGTTTCAGAGGTTGGTAAGAAGAGAACACGAGTTCTTCAGTTGTCTCGGGGCGAAAATATATACCACTTAATCTCACAAAGAAAAAAGTTTCTTTGAGGTCTCTGGGAGGGTGTCTGTTTTCCACCCTTAAAACCAGTTATTTAAAAAAGCTCACATGTTTGCTGTGGTGCAAATTTATCACAAGGCTTATATCATCCATCTTTTGCTGTGGCTTACTAGCTTTTTATCATGAATTTTATTTTTATCATGATTTATTTTGTTTTTTTTTTTAAAAACAAAGTTATGTTTGGTATCCAGAATGCACAGAGCATTTTACAAATGGAATGCTTATTTTTTTTAAAACATTAACACAAAAGGTTATAAACTAACTCTTTAAAAAAAAAAAAGTTGGCATTTGGTAAACCTGCGAGTGCTCTGACCTCTTTCGCTGCAAACCCAGAGCAGCCAGATTGGGCAGGGCTGTGATCCTCACTGCATCCAGCTGCATCTGGACCTCGAGAGCTGGGACTCTGGCACTGCAGTGATGGCCCAGCTGCTTCTGCACCACCACTGCAGTGGGAATGGGGAGGCTGTCTGGCAGGCAGCCCTCTGGTAGTGAGCTGGCCCTGTGCTCTGCTCCATAAAATATTAGCAAAAAATAGTTTCCGTCTGATTTTAAATGAGAAATTAAAAAGCAGTTTGAACTGCTTTGCTATATTCTAGTTTTAATAGCATTTGAAACAAATAACAAAGATGTAATATTTTAGTCAATTGTACCCTTTAAATAATAGCCATGGTAACTTATTTTTCTGTGCGTGGATAAGTAATTTGTGTTCTGTTCTTAAAACGTTTAGGCAAGTAGAAGGGATGAGCAAGGAATATATCATTGCCCTGATGACAGAGAAACAAATACTGTACATACATTTATAATTGCGTGTAAAGACTTTTTACAAAGTCAGAGCTCAATAACAAACTTTATGGATGAATATACACTGTAATAATCTGTTTATTGGTACATTCTACTGTGGCCCACGCATATGCATCTAACATTACATTGCCTATGAAGTGGATGCAGTCAATTAAATACAATGCCAGGATGCATCCCCTAGTTTGAAACACCTTATTTCCAAGCAGGTTGCACAGAACAGGATCGATATGAATTACATACTTGTACAGGGATAGTTGTTTTAACGTAAAAATATATGTAATGTGTTAGTGAACTTGTAAGTGATCTGTACTGAAGGTTCTTAAATACTTGACTCCAAAGTTTGAATTTTTGGCCCATGTTGATGCCTTTTTTTGTCTGAAGGCTTAAAGCTCTGTCAGAAGCCCCACTGGGATGATGGTCTTGTACAGCCAGGCAGTGAGGTGGAGGTGCTGGAGGCAGCTTTGAGCTCCTGACTGTACAAACAGACCTGGCAAGTTTGCCAGCTCCATGCCTGTCAGCAGCTGTGGTCCAGAGAGGTTTGGTGGTGACCAGCAGCAGGTCCGTCTTCTCCAGTGCTTACAGTATGTCACCCATTCTGGTAGTCCAGAGAGTCTGTCCAACTTCCTGCCTTCTTGTCTCTTGTCACTAAACTATGTCTGTCTTCTGTCCTCTTAGATCTTACTGTCAGTTTTTATCTGAATTTCTCTCTGCTGTTAAGAAACCTGGGTGTTGTTCCTGTACAAGGAACAGCTGTAGGGAGCTGGTGTGACAGTAACACCTTTTCTAAGCAGTGGGATAGTCTCTTGGCTGTGAAAGCTGTGGAGTCCAGTGCCCTTTTCAGCCATGTTACTGTCCTGTAAGAATAAGGCCCATGTGGCTCATGTTGCATGTTAGATGTCTTCAGGCCCCAATGGAGATGTCTGCTACCCTGGAGTCGCCTTGGTCCTTGCAACTCTGAATTCTGAGCTTTGGTTCTCCTGGTGGGAACATTTCTTATTCTTGGATTAGTTATGGTGTTAGGGTTCACATTGTTTGCTTGTATTTGGTGTCATATATGTGGTTCATGCCTATTTGGATGTGAAATGATAGTGCAGATAGGTAAAAAAAATTGCTCCTGGTGTGAGAAATCCACAGTGAGATAAACTGCTATATGGGAATTCATTTATTTTAATAGTAAAGATTTCCCAATCCTGCCTGTAATTTAAGACATTATTTACATTAAGAAAATGAGACTTAAAATCCCTCTTTTCTGGATGAAGTAGCAGCTTGCTTCCATTGGTTTTGTATAGAGACTTCCCATATGTAAGTTTAATAGAAAGGAAAAGGAAAAAAGGAAAAAAAAAATCGGTGAGCTATATGCTTAAGACTGAAAAGTTGCCCTTCTGGGCTCTTGAATAAATATGAATTAATGAAGGGGCCAGATGCAGGAGGATAGAATTTTTTAATGAGTCAAAAATGTTTTGGCTTGAAGCTGTTCTATACTCTCAGGTCAGTACATAAAAAAAGAAGTTACAAAACTTGGAATTTTCTTTAAGGTGTCAGTCCTCATTGCTGAAGACTTACTGTTTTATTAAACAATTAGATAATTACAGCAGAAAATCAAGTAGATTTTAAAGACTTAAGTCCGTATTTTGTGTTACAAAATAAACCCAAGAGAGACACCCTACAATAGAGACAGGAAGGATGCCCAAAAATCCTTTGCTTTGCTGCTCTTTGTGAATTTATAAATGCCAGGAAGGATGATTTCTCCTGCTCTTGGATAGAGCTTTATAAAGCCACATGCAGTACTTTTAACACAGGTGGATGATAAACTAAGAAGAGCTTGCTTTATTTTACGGTATGTTCAACTCCCTGTAAAGGCACTGGCTTGCAACTTAAAATTACACTTAACTATGGAGGTCTGAACAGCGCTGCTGCAGAGGACTGCATGTGCAGGCAGGAGAAAACACACTTTATGAATGCACAGGAATAACAGATTAAAATCAGACCCACACCTGGCTGAGGCCGGCTTGGGCAAGCTGTGCATCGGGTTCTCTGCCCTCAGGTTCATCAGCCTCGGTGGTGTTTTAAGCGGCAGCTGCTGCTAATGCTGTGGGTTTGACTTGCCTTATAGCTGTGTGCCTGAAATGGAGAGATTTCTTTTCAGGCTGTTGCTGTTGCAGTGTATTTAATACACCCTTCTGTTTTATGTATGCTGAATGCGCGAGGCAGGGAATACCGAGAATTTCCAGAAAACCTAGTGATTAAAAGAATAATTCAAAGTTTGTGTTACTTCAAGGCAGAATGCAATTCCTGAGTTAGTGTCGATTTAACTCAGAGGTAATTTAACATCTAACAAAACCACCCTGGGAACAGATTACACCGGGGAGTATAGATTAGCCTAGATGTATGTTGGAAAACGCTTGAGACGAAGGATAATAGGACTGCGGCTATTTTTATTTTTGTTATGCTGCAGGCTCCACCGGTGTTGAGAGAGGCCCTTCCAGAAGAGTGTGGGGATAGGTCATCTATTCAGAGTAATGAATCATCTTGCAGCTTGCCATCGATCCCAAACGACGGCAGGGAAATAAAGCAGGGAAAACATGCTCCTCAGCTCGACAACGCGGGAGATCAAGGTAACAAGTGTTAAAAGGTCCGGCTTCATGCTCCAAGTTATTGTCCTTCTCTGTATTTGTGTATTTTCTATCCAAATCTGCAGGGGACTGTATTATAGTGAATTAATGTATATTTGTAAGGAACTTCGGGGGATTTTCCTAAGTATCTCAGTATCGTTTGTCATTCTTTTTACTTAAAAAGAGTGATACCTATTGTGACCATTCTTTATTTTCTGCAGGAGTAGAAAAACAAGTCTTGTGGCCATTATTAAAAATGGATCCATAGGTGTGCACATATTTTAAAAAATGTCTACCATTTAGAAATTGTAGGATGTATTTGTTGGCTTTTTTTATGAAGCCAGACTGTAAAATACATTTCCGCAAATGAAAGGGTTTGTGCTGAGAAAGGTGTGCAGTGCCATTTCAGAGCTTAGCAGGTGAACGCATTTGTGAAAACCCAGTTAATTTCTTTAGATAAGGAAGTAATACATTATTCTGGTGTAATAATCAGCAACGGCCACTTGCTCGGTCTGCTCTTGGAGCATCCTTTACATCAAAGTCCGGAAGAGACAGGCAATTAGGTTGCAATGCTCTTTACACAGCAAATGTAAACAAACTGCTTTAGGCCTCCTAAATTCATGGGACCTTTATCCGTGAAGGAGACGGAGACTTTGATTTAAACAAATTTTCTGCGGTCGGTATGATATACGCTGCTGCTGTCGGGCTGCCGGACAAGATCGCAGAGTTACTGTGGGTTGTTTGTTTCCTAAATCCCATTGGGTCTTAAATAATTTAAGACATTTGGTTAGCTTGTCCTTTTCTCTGGAAGCTACAGAGAGGCAGGGTAGCCTCGCATGTGAGGAAAGTTCACAGTAGGCGCCTCTTTTAAGGACGGTAATGGATAGTTTAGATCAATAAACAAGAGATAACAAAAGTGAGAAATTAAAGGGAGTAGGGCTTAAAAGCAAACAAACCAGTCTGATCACTGTGACTTTGAAATGTGTTTCATTATGGTGTGTTCACATCCAGAAGTCACAAGCTGGTGTGAAGATGAGAGCAAGGAAGAAAGCACGGTTGAAAAGAATCCTATTACAGGTAAAAGTAATGGCTGCATATTAACCTTGAATCCAGTATTCAACTTTATTATATAATCAAAACATGGCATTTTAGTGGTTTGAGTCCACTAATAGTGAGTAAATTCAGCTACTACATACTGAGCGCAAAGATTAAATGTAAGATCATAAAGTCCACGTGTATGTTAACATAACCAAGATGGAAAATAACAGTGCCTATTTAATTCCTTGTAATCATGTTATACATTTAAACCATGTGAATATCCTGTCATTTAGCCTTTCAGGTCCTGGTATCAGTGTTACAAAGGTCAGTCTCCGTGGGGAAGATCCAGTAATTATATGGCAAACTACAGATGTTTCTGATTTGATTCTTTTCTTTTCTCGAGTAATTGAATGTGCATCATTAGAATAAGCGCAGGGAAAAACCCTGCTAGCCGGGAAGCCGTGCCTTTGCCTCTGTTACAAAAGCTGCCTGATAACACAATTTTTAGCAATAAGGTTTTATCGAGACATGTTTACATCTTCCTACAGCAGATGTACAAAGCTTGCTTAGGATCCTGAGACATCGCTGCATTTCAGTCCTGGGGTATCAGTAACATGTTAGTATTCAGGGCAGGGCTCTCTGCAATGAGTCGCAATTTGCTTTTGCCTGATTTTGTAAAGTGATGGGCTGCTTCCTTATAAATTTTGATGTTTGGCTAAATATTTACTTATGCAGGTGTGTACTCCAGAAGAAAGGTGCACGGGCATCTGCTTATGCAACGCTTGCTGTTGCTTTTCTTCTCTTTTACAGCTTCAAAATAACCTGTCTTTTGGAGAGCAATTAATTTCTCTATAGAGGTTTTCCTCTGCTGCTTTTTGAGCCTAATTTGCAGCTGAAATATAAAAAAGTGCATCTTGTATTCCTGAATTATACTGCAGCAATAATATTCCTCTGTTTGCCCCATAAAACTTTTTTTTTTTTGCTAGAGAGTAGAATGCTTTCCATCTTCCTGCTTCTTAAACTGTCCTTCAGTCTCACATGGCAATGAATTTAAAACACAAATTTCATTCATTTTCAGAGGAATTAAAAGCTACTTAAATATTTTTTTCATGAAACAATACACTTGTCATTTGAAAAAGTTAATCTAAAATTTTGCAAATCTTGGGATTGGTTTGATTTTGCTCATAATTTGAGAGGATTCAAATTTGAGGATTGGTATTTAAGTGCAGGTAGTACCAGCAAGAGCAACATCATGGACACCCTCCAGCTAATGCCATCACTGATATTGGGTGGGGGTTTTCTGTGGTGGTTTTGTCTTGTTTTTAATGAGAGTACCGGCTGTTGAGTTTGGATCTCCATAGCTGCCAATGCTGTTGTCTTGCTGCTTCTCACTCTGAATTTTATGACTTGTCAGTACTGATTTTAGCGATGATTTTACATACCAGTTTGTCAGGGAATTCTCTGTGGCAGTGTTTCCTGCTGGGGACCCCGATGGTCAGTGCAACTGGTTACTGTGTTAGATGTCGGCCTAAAGCCAAGCTCCGATGGACATCCCCCTTCCCTGCTTCTCCCATAGTTTTTCTAGCCGAATGGGCATGCAAATACTAATACTTGCTATTTGTAAGAATGCTGAAACTCTCCCTAACCTAAACATGGAAACCAGTAATTTCAGTTTAAAATCCGCTCTTTCTTAGTCTGCTTTATTTACTGTTTTGTTGCAGTGTGTTTCCCATAGCCCGTGGCCACGTTGTCTCTAGGAGGGAGGCTTTTCATACCTCACTTGAAAGCAAAGTTGCTCCTGTCAGCTGCGATTCATCTTCAGCTCATGATCTTCTCCAGGCTTCTTGTTCTCTTCTGGCTCCTCACCCTTCCAGCCTGGTGTTTTTTTCCTTTTCACTCATCATTATTTGCTGCAGACTCTGGCCCTGGAGCTCTGAAATTGTTCAGTGTCTACAATAAAGGGAGCATCTCTGTGTGTTGTCTTTGGGGCTCAAATGACTTGTTGGAGGGTTTGGCTTTGTGTTTTCAGATGAACTGATATTAAATGTCCATTCCATACATGACCATTTTGCTGTACAACTTCTTCTAAGCTTAAGAGATACAAATTTTGTTGGTTTGGGGTTTTTTGGTGGGTTTTCTTTTCAGTAGCTGCTGCATTCTTTAAGGGCTTTGAGTGCTGGTTTGAAACACTTGAAAGCCTTGGGGCTTTTGGGTTTTGATGGATGTTATTGTGAGAGCTGGGTGGATGTACTTCCAAGCAGTTACTTTATGAATGCTTCTGTAGTTTTGGTTTATTTATTTTCTGTTACAGGAAAAAAAAAGAACCAAAATATTTATTTTAATACTCTGTATATATTCTAGAAATATTTTTATTTTTTCTTTAATGCTTGTAAGGGAGGAACACGATAGCTGTGTGGCTTTGGGGACAAGGGCTTTAGAGTCATAGCTGGAATGGTGTTGGATGTCCCTATGTGGGTACCTGAAACTGCTCGTGCAAGGACTGAGTTCACTCGAACTGTTCTAAACAGAGGCTTGGCTTGAAACATCTACTGAGCTGTTCCCCTCTGTGGCAGCACACGTGAGCTTTTCAAACGTTCCTCAGCTGGGGGCATGAGGGCAAAGTAGCTCATGGCACAAAGATGGTTTCTTTCCTAGCGCCTTGTCCTAAGCTTGTGGAAGGCCATGTTGTGATAATTGACTTTAAAAGGATTATATTTTGTGTATGGGCTCACCCAGAGAGGAGGTAGCTATTAATAGCAATCTCATTTTCTATGAGGTTATGTGAGGATAGAGGAGGATATATGAGCTCATTCTCATTTTCTTCATGGATGCTTTGTTTTTTATCGGGGGAAAACATGTAAAAGAAATTGTTCGGCTTTTTTTTGCTGTTCCTGAGGTTGGTGAATAATACGAGATTAAAAAGAAAGGATAAAATCCATTATTTCTTGTTTTGCTGGATGGATGTTTGAGAATCTCATTTATGAGTAGGAAACTGCTGATTTTATTGAAGGAGCAGGTTTGTTAAATCCTTAACAAAACCAGATTTGCTCTCTACCCTTTGTTTATGTCTTTGATTTAAATAGATGTTAAAGCTGTAAAGCATTTGAATAAAAATGGTGGTACTTCTCCACTCATTGGGCTTCAATTTCACAACATCTCAAATGTCACCTCCAGGTATAAAATTGCTAAGGTAGAAATAAGTAGGAAAAGCCCTCTTAAGGGGGGGGAAAAAAAGGTGCCATTCTTTATATATCAGAGAGGAACATGAAAGGGTACAAATCCAATTCTTCTTTCCTTTTTAGATCACCTTTAATGAGCCAATAATCTTGCCAATGCTTTTCTCACGCCCACATGTCCTTCCTGGTGAGGTCCTCCTTTGAGCTTGAAGTTAAAGGGTTCCTGAGGTTCCATGTGGAGTGTGCTAATAAAGGCATTAATAAGTCCACCCAACTTTTTGCTTCATTTGATATCAACCCATTTGCAGCTGCTGTTATGACAAAAGTTCATCGGCATGTGATAAATTGCTGCTGCTGTTGTGGTCTGACAGAACTACCTTGGGACACCGTAAAATTGTATGTTTTGCTTAAATTAGTTTGGATTGTGCACTCCAGTAGGTGTTATTTTTATGCTGCTCGACTTTAGGTTACTGAAAGACTTAAGAGTCTTTTTATAGTTAGGAATTCTGGGTGAAAATTATTCTTTGATCTTTAAACAGGGGCAGCAGCTTCTAGTAGTATTATCACTGGGTGGCTTGTGCTTCACTAGGATCTCCTGAGCCCAGTGGTCATCCAAATGTCTGCTCTTGAGAGGACAGCACTGTATGTTGGATGATGATGATGATTATTATTATTATTGGTTTTGTTGCTTTTATTCCTTCCCCCCATGTAAAGGAAGTGGGGAGATATTTGTTGGTATTTGACCTACTTCTGGATACTGGTTACTGCAGTGTTCTGCCCAGGTTTTAATTTGGAGATTTTTTCCATCTGTTTGCTCTCCAAAGAGCAATCTGTCTGTCAGACTTGCAGGTAGCCTTGATCTTCTCTCTGTATGCAAGTTGTTGCTTTATCGCAAGGGAAATCAGCATGAAGAAGAGTCCATCTAGAGCTAGCACTCACACCTCTGGTCCCAAGGCAGGGACTTGCACAGCAGCTGTTCGTGTGTTGGCAGTGGCACGGCAGCTGACAGCCCACCTTTAATCCTGCGTAGCCCTTTGTAGATTATCAGCAAGTGCAGTAATTAGCATTAACGTGGTGGAGAAGCTTGTTCAGATTTAAAGTTCCTCTGGGCAGAAGCTATTGTTAGTTTCCTATTTTGGTACAGGACCTAGCAGCATGGCAGCCCAGACCTACCAGCACTTCTGAATGCAGATGCAGTAACTATTGCCAAGGTAACTGTAAAACTACACAGCTTGCAGGCTCAGCTGATCCTGATAATATTCCTTTCAAGGCATTATTGACTTTGAAGTTGGAAGCTGAAATACCCGAGCTGCTAACTATTTTATTGGTGATAAAAGCACACAGAAAAAGCCAAGTTCTTTTTGGTGTAGGCTCTCATTTGCAGACGGGAGGAAGATGCAGATATGCATCTGGGTTGAGTCTGTGAAAGCACTGGGGTCTTTTGCCCTCCAACTACCTCCATTTGCCTATGGGATTATTGATTTTTATTGGAAATAATGGATGATAGCTCTTTATAGCTTTTAAGTGGCATACAAAGTGCTCTTGTTCCTCTCCCAGTAGAGCAGTACCTACTGTACTACTTCTATGGCTTGCTTACGTGCTTTTATTGCTTAGGTTGAAGATTTCAGTTTTGCTTGCAAACTGTATGGGCTATGCATGAGCACAGTGATACTTATGTTTTCCCAGTCTGCATTTTAAAAACTAACAACCTTGTGCATTACCTTTCCCATTTCCAGACAGGCAGAGTCAAGCACTTGGAGATTTGTTCATAGAAAGATGATTTGGTGTCAGCAGATGTCTTTTCTGTGCTGGGACTCCAGACTTTAATGCTGGTTTTGATGTTTAAAAGTGTCTGCTTCTTCCTCTGTGAGAGAGGTAATACAATTAGCAAGATATAAATGTTGCAGCTACGAGGCCAAGAGCCGTCTTATATCTTCATTTGCAGAAAATTACATCACATCACTTCTGCTGCCAAGATGTTTGGCTGTCAATTGATAGATGCTGCAACCTAGGCCACAGGGGGAACACATGGAGAAAATACCTTCTTTTCAGTTCTGTGTTGGTACAGTATTTTATGGGTCAAAGATCATTTTAACTGTTCGGTAGAACAAAATAATGGTGGTTCATTATGCAACTACGGTGTTTATTTTTCCTGGAATTGGTGGCTAATGAAGATGACTACACCTGTTTTGTTCAGAACAAAATTGTGAAAGCTGACATGAAAGCTGCTTTGACCTGTGCTGACTGCACAATTAATCCAAAGTTGAAAAGTGTGGAGTGGTTTTAATTAATAGTGGTATTTTGGATCCTCTGCTAGCTCTGAGCTGAGGAAACATAGGTAAAAAGGTGCAAGGAGAGCTGTGTTGTCTGGGACATGCCAGCTCCCATTCAAGTGACTGGATTAAGAACTTTTTGTTATTAACATTACAATTTGAGTTTAAAGACTGAGCTTTATCGTGCTTGTCCAGTTTTGTCTGTGCAGTACAGGCTGGCTGTTGAGTAAATGCTCAAAGTACCCCATCCTGGCAGCTTCATCCTTGCATTGCCTCTGAGGTATCTGTGGAACATTGGGAGCTGATGGTAGGGCGTGGCCACTCCTTCCAAAAGCCATTCAGGGGAAAGAACATGAAGCAGATGGCATCTCTCTTCTACTTGGTGTAGCAAGAATTTACCGAAGGGAGAGGTGCTCTTTAACAAGTCTGCATATGGCCCAGGAGGCTTTATGAGAGTGCTGTCAGGAGCTGCTGCCTGCAGCCCTCCTCTCACCTCCGCTGCTGCTTCCCACCACTTCTGCTCCCTGCTGAATGATTTCTGTGGCACTGGCAGTTCTTTTATCCAAGGGTTTGTCTGTACACTGCTGTTGTGCTCTAACCCCCCCCTTTTTTTTTTCTCCTCTTCTCCACTCGTTGCATCTTTCTTGCCAGGGCTGTCATGTTCTGCTGTGCACTCAGGGAAAAGGTGTATTTGTGTTTCAGCACAGCACGCCTCTGGCTGTCCCCAGCCTGTGACAGGGAGGGTGTACTTGGCTATTAGAACATGGCAAGGTAGATGCTTCTGGCAAAACAAACAACAGAAACATATGCACATCCCAAAGTGTCTTTTTGAGCTAAGTTGCATTTAGCCTTAAACACAATCAGTTTTATGAAGGAAATACACTGATCTGCGTACAGGTTTTATGGCACGATGCGCTTCTATCAGGAGTAAAGGGAAGTGCTTAAGGGCTTCTTTTCCTAGCTGCATTATGTCTTGCATCCTCTCTTTCCTACCCTGTGCACTGCACCAGTTGCATGTGCTCGCTCACAAAGGCAAAGCAAGTATTGCTGTGGGCCCAGGTTGGGCTGGTTTTGTGGTTGGCTCTGCACTTCTGTAACCAAGACTCCTCCTTTCCTCTGACCTACAATGCAGATGTGTTGTTGAAGGCATGGGGGTTAAGCAGAGATAAGAGCCAGGTGATTGCTCAGCACGCACAGCAACAGTCCTTGCGTGATGGATGCTTTGTGGGCGCTGCAACCCAGGCGCACTGCCACAGCAGGCTTTCCAGGGAGGTGAACTGGTGGGCTTAGGAGTTCCTAGAAGGACCTTCCATTTCTGTAGGGTACGTAGGATGTAAGCCAGCACAAAGATGCTGGAGGGAAATGACTGGACTAATTGGCAAGGCAGTCTGGTGTAACTAAAGCAGAAGTGGGGATTAGTAGCCCAGCATTGTATTGTAAAGGACAGGTTGGGCTCTGAAGGGTCTTAAAGGTGAAGAACAAGTAGTTTGTGTTACTGTTTGATGTAGTGAATGAAGGAGAAGCCAGTGCAGGCATGGAAAGCTTGGGAGAATGGTCTTTTGAAGCTGATGTGCCTGCAAAAGCCACAAGGAGAGCTGCACAACAACAGTGGCCTAGCTCAAGTTTTGGTAGAGCTACCAAAGATCTGGGTTTTGAAGTGTCAACTAGGAGGGTATGCCAGGGATGCCTCGATCAAAGACAGGCCCCATGTTACTGCCCCAAGGGATGGAAGAACATTCAGAGACACAGACGTTGCTCCACGTTCTGCTTCACACAAGGAGCAAGCCATAGACACACCAGAGCCGCATCTGAGGGCACATGTAACTATTTTGAACGCTTGCAGAGTTTCTGGCCGTGGTGTTCTGTTAGCTGGGCACAGCTTGCTCTGTGCAAGGCTTTCTGGAGGCAGAGGGATCCTCTGAAAAGCTTGCTCTGTCCCCAGGCAAAAAGCAAGCATATAATCTGGGCTGCATTGTGTGCTGTAGTATGAATCTGTGCATGAGGAGCCCTGAAAAATATACTTATGTTAAGTGCTTTACTACTGGAGTGAAAAGCGGGTTTTGGGAGTTCTGACTTGATTAGATGAAATTATCTAGGGTTTTTTTTTTTTTTGCTTTCCTGAAGTAACATACAGACAACTGTGAATATTCATTCCTTTGTGGTCGGTGATTTCTCAGCACGTGCCCACATGGCTCACTCTGCAGTACAGAGCTGCCATCAACCTTGCATTCAGGAGGTCTCCTCAGATCTTCACAGGTCTCTGCTCCTCTGCATGTGTACATCACATGCAAAGCGTTTTTCCTTCTTTTCTTTTTCCACTCCAATCTTGATTTTTCTTTTTTCCTTCATGTGTTCCCTGGGAAGCGGTCAGACTTTGTTCTGCGGAGCAGCACTCGGCTGCCAGTGCCACTCCTGTGCCCAAGCTCTGCTATCTCCTGCTCTGCTGGATGTGCCCGAGGCTGAGCAGGATTTGTGCCACTGAAATCCAAATGCAGAGCAGTGAGATCCACTGGAGCAGATGGGTGATGTGTATGGCCAGTTAGAAAGTAGGGGTGTCCAAGATGTACAGAAATACTAAATAGTCCTGGGTTGGAATGAAGTTGATAACAATTAGGGCTTGTTTATAATTTTAGTATTCTCTGTATATGTACCTATATACAGACACAAACGTGTATATATCTAAATGCAAAGTAGCCTTTTAAAGTGGGATTTGTACTTGAGCATCACGTTCTTTGGAAATGAGTACAAAGATGAGCAATTGTACAATTCCAGTGAATGCTTTCATTTACCTCCTCTTTATTTTTAAATCAATCTCTACAGAATGGAATTGAGATACGCAGAGCAGGGAGAGAGGAAGGAAAGGAAAGTGTGGATAAAAGATGTTGAAGTAATTGGGTGTTTCACTGTTTAAGTTATAAAAATCCCAAGATTTGTATCTCCCAAATGCAGCTCTATTTCAATAGAGCAGTTGAAAATACTGATGTATCAGGTAATATTAAGAGAAGTATAACTGTATAGAATAATCTACATTTAAGAGGAAAGAGAATAAAAATAACCTTGCTTCCTGATTAATTAAAGTAAATGAGAACTCGGGGATTTAAAAAAAGATGTAAAAAGACCCCAGAAATCCTTTAGGTTTTACTTAAAGTTGCCATGATGCAATACAGCTCTTAAGAGAATCCTCGTGTTTGCATTTTTTTTTTCTAAAATGAGGCAAAAACGTGCAAAAATTTCACTATTCACAAGAAATCCTAATCAGATAACTTAATGGTTAGTGAGGGAGTCTTGTTTTCTTGTTTTTTTTTAACTAATTTCCACCTAACCATGAGCAGTCTTGAGGCAGATCCCATAGCTGCGTGGTACATGCTCCTCTCTAGACTTTGTCACCAAAGCAAGAGCGTGGCCATTGCGTGCATCTGTGTGAAAACAGGAGTGCGTTGTGCCTGGGACTGCACGCTGTTGTAAGGTCCAGCCATTGACACCTACAAATTACTATTTCATGTTTTTACCAAACAGGTTGGGATAGTGACGATGAAGGTTCCAAAGCAAAAGCAAGCCAAGAAATGCATTCAGAAACAAGTTCTGCATCCAATGAAAGAAATGCTCCCTTCTCAAGGTAAAGTTGTTAAATCCTTTAACATTTGAAATGCTTCTGTAGAGTGAGAAACACTGACAGAAAATGACTGAAGCTCCGATTATTTTATTTTTTCCACTTGGTCTAGGGTTAAGATTCTTATTTATGTTTATCTAATAAAACATCTTAAACTTTGCTACACCTTAGAAAATATTTGTGCCAAAGCCAAGTATTGTTTTGCAGCTGTTGTTTTCTCATTTTAAGACTCAATTGACATCTCAGTGAACCACAAATTAGTGTGTACAGCTGCTCTCAGTAGGGCTGCTCGGGGGCCAGACAATTGGAGTTGTCAGGAGAGGGGCAGGCATAAAACATAAAGTCTTCAAGAAATAAAGTAGTGGGTTTCTTCTCTGTGCATCTGAGATTTAAACTCGTTGTAACTGGATAATGCTCTTCAGGGGCTTGGGTATGGGGCTTTTTAATATTTGATACCAGGGTATTTATAGCATGCTTTTTTTGCTTTCCAACTAGGTATGTTTAATGGCCTTGCATGTACCTAAAGGGTGCAATTTATTCTTACTTAAAAAAAAAAAAAAGTTGGATGTGGTTTTTTGTTTGGATTTTTGTTTTGTGGGTTTGGGGTTTTTTTTCTGTTTGGTTTTTGTCTCTTTTGGGTTTTTGGTTGTTGTTTTTTGGGTTTTTCTGTTTGTTTTTGTTTTTTTTAAACTGCAGCAGTTCCCTTTGGGTCCCTGAGCAGTTCTGTTCCTTGTATTCTTCGTTGGCACGTAAGGGTAATCAAACAGCAACAATCCAATTAGTGGTCAAGAAGCAGTAGAAAACAGGACAGAACACAGCCATCTCGTGAAATATTGGCAGGGCTTTAGATCTGTATCTGCTCTTATTAGAACAGCCCAGCAAGTGGGTGCTGCACCGCTCCTGCTCTGAAAGCTGCCGTCAATAGCACTCAGGAAGAGACTTCTGAGCGTTTTGATTTATTTTAAACTTCTCCCGTTTATATGGCACTGCCACCTTTTATATAGCTTTTTTAATGCAGTTACTGGTGAGGTCAGTTTTGATGAGAGACATAATTCCAGTTTTGCAAATATTGTTCTGCATTTTGTGTTAGTCGCAGTATTTCTGTAATTCTCCTAGTACAGTAAATACAAGCCGTAATACAATATCGATGAATGGCATTCCTGCATTTTCTTAGGATTAATTCTTACAGTCTTCTGTTCAAACGCTTTTCTTTTTTTCTTTTTTGTTTGTTTTATTTTTAAATTTTCTGGAACTTGCTTTGATGTTCCAAACCGTACTACCTAATGCTGTGAAATGCAAGGGTGCTTTTGTAGAGGACTTTTTAGATGTTGAATTTTAGTTACTCACTGAAGCCCAGGACAGCAGGAAGAGAAGGACTGGGACCTGAAGAACTTGCTTACAGGACACTGAGCATCTGAGTAAAATACGTATAATTTAAAGTGTACTATTTTTTTAAATTTAAAAAGTCTCCAAGTGTTTCCCTCCTTGGATCTTGCACTGCTCGCTAATAATGCGTTTGGTGGCTTCTGCATTTCTCACATGCTGTTCATATGGCATACATTTTTTGCTGTTTTTTTTTTTTCACACCTCATGTGCTGATACACAGCGATGCTGCTTTAAAAAAAAACAAACCAAAACATATCTTAAAATGGCTTAAAGTTAGTTTTTCTAAATGAATCTAAACCAGTGTAGCCTTCTCAAGGTGAAGTTTGTCCTTAGCCCTTGCTTTTGGACACTTGGCACCTGCTCTGCAGAGCCGAAGAGCAGCAGAAGCAGCGAGGAAGAGGGAGAAAGGGACCAGGCAGCCGGCGGCTTGTTTGTGGCCAGGACGCAGCGCGATTTCTCCGCCGCTCGCGTTTAAGCGCTCCACTTACTGCAGTCACTCCTCGGGCTTTATTGCTGTTACAAGTGGTCTCGAAACCCACTACTTGAGAATAAACATAACCGTGCAGCGCTGCTGTGGTACTTTATAAATTCTTCTGTGCTGCGTTTTGTCACTGAGCTGATGAGTGACCTCGCAAAAGACCCTGCTGGACCTCAATAAAAAAAATGGCTTCCTCTGATGTCCTCCAGACAATAATTACGATGTGCCAGTTAAGCCCAAACTACAGCTGAGGGATTTTACTTTAAAGCAGAGGCTGGAGCGCAAAAATGCATTTATAGCTCTTTGTCTGGCACCTCATTATGTGTGGGCCTGATTCATTAAGTAATTGGTTTGCAGTTGTTTACATGAGTATTAAGGCTTTCTATTCAGCAGCCTTTGAGAGATACATTGTGCAAATGTTGCATGTGATGAATGCGGAATGAGGGGCCGGGGACTGGTCCTATTGGCCAAACACTGTGCGCTGTTGAAAAGCGAGAGAAAGAGATTGGGTGCTGCTTTGCATAGCAATGACTTTCTTAATAAGCTTTACAGATTAATACACACAAGCTATAAAAGATGCAAAGAGATACTCTTAGCACATTTATACATGCTCATTTCACTATTATGGCACTGGAGACGGGAAGAATTGAGGGCTTTCATATTCGGTTTTTCAGTGTGTGTCTTCAGTGCATGAGACTTAATAGAATCCGATGTTTATTGTATTATAAATCACGGGGAAGTAGGCAGATCTGCAACAGTTTATTATTAAAGATTCTTTCAATGTAAATCTTTTTCTGCCATTGTATTTCCTACAGCAAAATCATTTTGTGGTTGAGTGGGGATGAAAGGCATAATGTACGAAGGAGTGAGTCTTAATAGGAAGCTGCTCTCTGAGTAAAGACCACTTGTTCCCTTTTGTTCGGAGGTGCATGCCAGAGCTTCCTCTTCTCCCGCAAATATCGTCCTGCTCTACGTTGAGCTATGAAACTACTTTTTCCTGGCGACACTTACTTTACTGAGGGAATATTTACACGCACGGAGACGCAACTTTTGTTTGAAGAGTTAGCGTTTTGTAGCAGAAAAGAGCACATTAAATTATACAAGTACTTGGGGGAAAAGTTATCAGAAGTCAGGACTGACTCTCCCCATGAGAGCAGGCGGTGGGCGATGTGTGTGGCATTCTGTGGGGCTGCAGCCATGGATGCAGCCAGTGGAGGTCACTAGCTTTCTGGGTAATTCTGCACTTTTGATGCAAGCAGTTTGTTTTTCTTTGACTGGTTTGCGATTCAAAATAACCAGGAGATTAAAGATGCATTATCAACTGAGAACTGAAGAACAATTTTAATTTGTTTGGCATAAACACAGCATAAAGTATTTTAAACTTTGATTAATTTGTCTTCTGGAAATAATCTGGTCTGGTCTCTGAAGACTGTTTTATATGAAAGCCATCTTTACTAAACACAGATGTAATGATAATCAAATAAAAGTTGGCAGTTTATCATTCACCCTCTGAATTATGCTCAGGGGTGATGTTTAACACTGGGCTGGCCATCGGGGGGGCACTCAGGCTCTACAACACCCAGCGTCCCCCCCTTATCCTCCGTCAGACCCAGTCCTGACATTGCTTAGCTGACTGTGGGCAAACCACCTGAGTTGGCTGGGGCTCTGAGAAGAGACTCCAAGGGTTTGGGGTGGGAGTGATCAGGAGCTGTGTTTACCAGGAAGTCAGGGAAAGTGGAACAGTATGTTTCCAGGCTCCTAAGACACACCCAGAAACCAGCCTGTATCTGTTTTATCCTCCTGCCTGTACTTTCAGTTGTCAAATCAGTTCTGTAAGTAGCTGACTGTAAATTCAAGCACATTTTTCTGATGTTACAGATAACTGCGAGCTTCGTTTTCTAAATCTTAACATCCAGCTGTTGCAGAAATAGTAGCGTTGCAGTGGTGATGCGCCACAAATACTGGTGGGAAGGGTTTGTAGGGACAGGCAACAGTATCTGTGTAAATCCATTGCCTTTGTAGTACAGGGGAAATAGAGTTTTTGTAGCCATGGCCCATACTCTTCTGACACAGTTTCATCATGATGCTGTGAAACAGCTTTGTGTTACCTGTTTCTCTAGGCAAGAATGTGTTGGGTTTTTTCTTCAGCATGGAATATCTAATCAGAGAACGGTATTAAATGTAGCTCAATATAGATCTTTGAATCCTGAAATAAAGGTCATCCTATTTTCAGTGTAACTACTTAAATTCAACATTATTCCTTCAGTTCTGGTTGTGCTGAATGGGCTTTTTAGTTTATACTGACTTTCCCAGGTGAGGAATACTTCTGCACTGCCCAATTTGTGGTAAACCACCAGCAGAAAATGACAGTGCCCTGGGGCTCCTGCAGGAAAGTGGATGATGTCAGGGTGCCCGCCAAGACTGCCACACCAGAGGCACAGCCTGGCTCGCTTACTGTCAGGAGGCTGTGAGTGGTTCTCAATAAATGATTTTTAAAACTGAATCTGGGGCTCTGCATCCTCGGGTGTTGCTGGGGAGAAGCTTCATCGCATCTCTCGCTGTGGGTTATTAAGCACCACCCTGTGAAAAGGTGAAGCTGGATTTGTTTTTGGCAGCATGCTGCCTGAGCTATGTGTATGCAGGACAAGGGGTGCAGGTTCCCAGCCTGTGGCAGGGTTACCCAGAGCATCGGTGCTCCTGAGGCCGCTGCACTTGGCATTTCCTTTGTTTTCCTGATCGAGCCTGGTATTAGAGTGGTGGTTTGTTTTCTCTTGGTGCTTGAGTGGTTCTTGTTGGTTTGGGTTTTTTATTTTTCCACTAGATGTTTGAGTAGTTGGCTTTGTGTCTTTTTTTGGGGGGGGGGGGGACGACACGACAGTTTGGTGGTTTGTTTTGGTTTGTTTTTTTTCCCTTGGCATTTGGGTGTCTCTTTTCACTTGATACTTAAACACAGAGGTTCAACAGGTGCTATTGCAAAAAGATGCTCAGGTTTAAGTGAACATTTTCTGCTGTTTTCCAGTGAGCCACCTCTATTAACTTGGCTCTTGTTGGTCAGATATTTTCCTCATAATACTAATTTTCTTAACAGAGGGGAAAAATATTTTCTTGGAGCTTTTTCATTTCTTATTGTTGCAGCATCTTCAGTA